TGTCATACAAATTCAATGAATACAATGCTTCCTACAATTCAATGAATACAGTGCTTTAAGAAAGTAAAATTTCAATAATTTAATTGAGTGGTCAAATTAAATCGAATTCAAGTGATTTTTTTTCTATAGAAATGATCTTTGAATGAATATCTACAAAATAGACGGTTTGGATTAGTGAAACATAATATGGAGTGAGCCCTACAAGGGTGTTCTTTAAATAAGCTTATTTGAGGGATTCCTCATATGAAGTTTTCTATATATATACAGAAATTCTCCTATGCGGACGAACGTTATTATTGTGCAAACATCATGTATTTTGTATTACCTCTCCTTGTTTTTTTGCCTATTTACAGTAGCATCAACACAATATTAATATGCGGATATCCGAATATATATATATATATGTAGTAACCCTTTACAAACTTGTACACTACAATGTCGTTTGGCTATTTTGAATGGACACATCAATCCAAACTGTTTTAGTCAACTAATAGTTAACCACATTAATAATGTCTCAGAAGAGGCACATTATTAAAAAAAATTATATAAAGAGAGAGAGGCTAGATGTTACTGTCAGAATGATATATAATTAGGTCATTTTAACAACACCAATTAGATATAGGGCTCTTTCGATAACTTTATGTTCTGTAAATATGAACTTAGTCAAGTTGGCTCGAGCAGATATATTCTCAACTTTTCATCAAAGTTCGAATTCCCTTCCTCGTAGTTTTGATTAAATTAAAGTAAAATATATTACTTGTATAACAAACAACTTCATGTTTTAACACCCCTTAGAAATATTTTTCCTTACTTAACAAGAAGTGTTAAATGAGAAAAGCCTCTCTCTCTCCATCATGGAAGTATATTTTGAGACGATCAACTATAATATTAATAAGGATTAGGTGATAAGCCATAACTTTGGTTGGGGAAATTACAATTAAACAAATCCAATTATGAAAGAATATGCAAATATATTGTAAGGATATGATCATTAATTTGGAAATCCAAATTATTGTGAGAGAGCAGTTAACTTGTCTAATTATAAGCACTTTTTATGTAGTAAGCATGGTTTTTTGTGGCCAAACCTGCTTTTGTTTTACTCTCTCCTCCCTCCCTGATCTCGCATCATAGCATGATCAGCTCATTTGTCTTTTTAGGTATATACAGACCCTACCCGTTTTATTATAATATATTATATATAAATATTATTGAATCAACAACGTCACTAATTTGAAAAAGAAATAATTGATGTGTAATCGGTCTCTCTAAGTCATCATGTACATAATTAACGGCGTGTGAATTTTAGAGCATCTTTTGAGTCTCATACTCGTGTTAAGATAAACAAAAGCGGCCAATGGGGTCTAGTCGAATGAAAAGTTTTAACTTGCAGATGGTCTCATATTCGAACCTTCATGATATTTTTTGATTGTGTGTGTGAAATTAAATATAATTGCTTTTCATTCCAAGAGGTTAAAAGTAGGTAGTTTAGTTGGGAAGAAATGGGAATTGAATCATGCTCAATGACTTTATTCAGCAGGTGGGGAGACAAAAGGGTAGCCCCATTTTGACTTGTTTTCTGAAAGTGTGTCATTCACATTAACAACTCCTTAAGAACTTAGCACTAAAATCAATGGGCGTTAGATTGGTCCAGGTCTTTGGCGTGCTTTCAAAAAGTCTTGGATCAAGTCCCCGTGATACCAATGGTGGAACCAGAAATTTTATCAAGGAGGGTCAACCTTAAATAGTGAGAGTGAGAATTTTGCCTAATTGATTGGCTCATTTGATTAAAGAAATCACGATAAATCTTAGGAATTATGAGGTGTGTTTATGTGTTAGAAAAAAGATACTACTAGAGCCAAGAGGGATTTTGTAGTGTACTTTAATTGTTATAGAATTTAAATAGTAAACAAAGAAAACGAGAAAATGAGAAAGTTAGTAAACTCAAAAGATGAGAAAGGTCAGCCATGTAATATAGAAAGTAATTCAGTCAAATGCAACACATACAAAAACAAATGATCAAATGGTGAGAAGGGTCAAGTGACCCTTGTAGGCCTTAATTGGCTCTGCCCATTCGTGATACCCATGTGTTTGAGTTTTTATGCCTTCCAATTTCTTAATTTTGGCCCCAAAAAAAAAGAAAAAGAATTTATATATTAAATTATAATATGGCATCGGTTTGTGGTATAAATATGATAATATAGAAAATTTGATTTGTTGATCATGTCGGTATAGATAGCATAACATGTTCTTGGGATTAATATTTACATGGCAATATTTTAATTTTGTTGCGTAGGCAAGTTGTCCACATTTATCAATTACATTTTGTCTGCAGTGCAGCAGGAGATTTCCTTGGGGCAACAATTCTTGCCTTCTCCACTAAGAATATTCACTGGGCAGCAAACTTTTGGTTTCGTTTGCATTTTGGGATGTGGACTTTGATATGAAACATGAGTTGGATTTGACATGGATTTTCAATGGGAACTAAAGACCAATAGCAATCCATTTATATTTGGCACACCAAAGTGCATTAGGTTTGTTTGCGTAGAAAAATTATACAATCGACAAATTATCGATGATGGCTTTCCTATCTAGACTAGCTCTCAACTAGAGATTTGATATCATGTTGATTACACTAGTTAACGATGGACTATATCAACTAACACTCTGCTTGATCAGTTGGATTTGACATCTTCTAGAAAACAAGCCATGTTATAGGGGGGTTGTATTCTGCCCAAACAATTAATAAAAGCTTCAAGTAAACCCAAGTTTAAGAATATGGAGGGAAGCCATGACTATATCGAAGACGCTTACGCGGCGAAGCATCACTACGTCAACGCTTTTGGCCGATGAAGTATTTTGATGTCAATAAGAGAGCTATTATTGCCTAATCCTCTAATTTATGTTAAAATAAAAAGGTATATTTATACGAATATGAGCAGAGATGAAATTTTAACTGTGACGTTGAGGGACCGAAATGTAAATGTAAGTTTGAATAATGCGTACATGAGTCTGATCCAAATGAGCATCGATTAGTTCTCAGCAAAAATTATTCCAATAACCCAAAAGAGAAAATGGGCTTACTCCAATAAGATATTCTAAAATGAGTGTGGCCCAACTGAGTCTGTCAAGCCATTTGCATTCAATTGGCCAGATAAATGAGCAACCAGTAGTCGGAGCACAGAGAAATATGTTGGGCGTCCCAAATCGGCCCACCCGCATCCTGCTCTTAGTCAAGGACCCGGTCCTTCCCTCTCTCTCTTTCTCTCTCTTAGGGTTTTTATTTATTTTGAATGATTAATTTTAGAGTATGCTTTGTATTTTTGTTTCTGAATATTTTTGCTCAACTAGTGAATATTATCCATTTATGTTAGGGTTTAGGGTTTGTCCATTTTGCCCAATTTTTACAACTCATATGTTGTTTTTGTGGTTTTGAATTTGTTTCAAAATTTTCAAGAGCAATGCCTTTTATGGGTTTTTCACTATTCTTTTTGTTTGGGTGAAATATAATTTTATTGATTTTTTAATTTAAAATTATCTCTATGTACTTTTCAAACATTAGGGTTTATAATCTGGCATTGAAATTTGGTGGCAATGGATGCTGTAATGTTGCAATTTGTAATTCACTCCCAATGCTGGAAATTTGTTTGCTTGTGTGTGTGTGTAGTGGGAAAATTTTACAGTGTTCAGGATCAAGAGAAGCACTCAACTGAAGAAGCTTATGATTGCTTACTGTGATAAGAAGTCGGTGGAGTTGGACAATATGAGATTCGTGCACAATGGTCGTCTTATTAGACCCAACCTGACCCCAGATGAGGTCCCCTCTCTTCATCTCCATATTCATACATTTGTATACGTGTGTGTATGTGTGTGCGTATTTATCTATTCGTGTGTATTTGCGTGATGCAGTTTTTACTTTTAGCCGTTGAGTTTACAGAATTTGACTGAGTATTTGTTGATGCAGCATGAAATGGAAAGTGGGGATGTAATTTATGCTTTTCCGGCCCTATTAGAATGATGAGGAGGAGTCTGATGCAGTGAAGGCTACTTGTGGTAGCAAAAGAAATGAAAGAGTAGATAATGGTGGTTGCATAGTGTATGATCTGTTGTTAAGGCTTGAAACCCAATGAAACAGTTGTATGTTTTTGTCATGAATTTTCAAATTGGAATGAAAAACCAATCAGTTTATTTGTGCCAAATGCCAAAATATTATTGGCTGTACATTTGAGTGGAAAATCTTATAATTTTGTGTTCAATTTGACATCTATGATTGCATTGACAAAACAGGCCGTGTGTTCAGAAAAGATTCGACCAAAGCCAAAATATGGATATGGAGTTAAGCCATCATTGGTAAAGATGCTTCATGAATGAGGCTGTTGATAGCATCATTCATTCTGCCTTGAATAGAAGGTGTGAAAGTTGACATTTGATATGATGGAAGAGAAATTATAGCAAGGGGCTTGATTGAATCTCAAGTGATTAAGAACATTTATCATCTTCAATTCCATCCACCTTATTGTTGTTTGATTCAAAGTATAGAAAAATTACAAGCTGCAAGGGACTTCAAGTAGTTAAAAGTATTTACTTCTGCACCCGAAGTCCTAGGTTCGATTTCCACCAATAGTGCTTGTGTTAAAAAATAAAAATTTACTAAAGCAAATGGTCATTGACAAGGAGAATTCAATTAGGGTTTTCGGATTAGAGACTTTCTTTTTATTAAAAAATTTCAAATGATAGTCTAAACAACGAAGGGAGAGGATTTCTCTCACATACTATGAGGATTTGAACCTAAGACCTCTTGTCTGGAAGTCAAGACTTTTATCATTGGCTAGACCTTGTTGGTTTGTTTTTTTGGGGTCAACCCTTTATTTATGAAGAAGTATCACAAACAGAAAATGGGCCTAATCTAAAAGAAATTCTAAAATGGACCTGGCCCAACAGAGTCTGTCAAGCCGAGAGAGTGAACAGGAAATAGAAACCAATTCACTGAAAAAATTAGCAAGATTCTTTGAGGTCGGGGGTGAGAAAGAGAGGGAAACGGAAATAGAAACCAACCAATTCGGTGAAGGCAGGCTTGAAAATGGGGATCGGTCGCAGAGTTCCAGTTGGACCACAGAGAAACATTTTGGGCGTACCAAAACAGCGTCCCTCCCACATTACGCTCTTTGTCCATGACCACCTGGTCCTTCCCTTTCTCTCTCTCTTAGGGTTCAGGTTTTTTTTATTTTTATTTTTTATTTTTTTTATTTTTATAATTTTAAAAAATATATTTATTTTAATATATGTGATTTTGAATGATCAATCTACTAAGAGCATGCTTTTTATTTTGTGTTTTTGATATTTTTGCTCAACTATTGAATATTATCTGTATATGTTAGGGTTTAGGGTCTGTCCATTTTGCCCAATTTTTAGAACTCACATGTGGATGTTGGGGTTTTTGAACTTGTTTCAAAATTTTCACTGTGGGATTTGCCTGTGATCTTCGATATCAGTCATTATTTTTATGAGGGAAAAAAAAGAAGAAAGAAACTTGTTCATAGTTTTTATTTTCTGAATGTTTAAGGTAAGCAAGATGATTGCTACCTTTAATGTTTAAGGTAATCTCTTATGTACTTTCCAATGCTGGAAATTTGTTTGCTTCTGTTTTGTAGAGTGGAAATGATTTAGTGTTCAAGATGAAGAGAAGCACTCAGCTGAGGAGGCTTAAGATTGCTTACTGTGATCGGAAGTCGGTAGAGTTCAACTGTACGAGATTCGCTTACGATGGTGTTGCTCTTATATCCAGCCGGACTCCAGATGAGGTCCCCTCCCACCCCTTGATGTCTCCCTCCCTCCATATTCATACATATGTGTATGCTTGTGCTCGTGTTCATATATCTATCTATTTGTGTAATGCAGGATTTACTTTTGGCCGATGAGTTTTCAGAATCTGACTGAATATTTGTTGCTGCAGTATGATCTTGAGACTGGAGATGTAATTGATGCATTTCCGGTGCCAAGAGGAGGAGGAGCGCCATGAAGTGAAGGGTAGATAGCTGTGGTAGCAAAAAAAAATGAAGGCTAGATAATAGTGGTTGCAAGCCATTTGGTTTTGGTTCGCAGTGTCTGATCTGTTGTTGAGGCTTGAAACCAATGAAACAATTGTATGTTTTTGTCATGACTTTTCAAATTGGAATGAAAAAAACCAATCAGTTTATTTGTGCCAAATACCAAATATTATTGGCTGTACATTTTGAGTTGGAAAATCTTATTATTTTGAGTTGAAACTTGACTTCTTTGATCATATTGACAAAACAAGCTTCGACCAAAGCCAAATTTGGATATGGAGTTAAGCCATCATTGGTCAAAACAAAAGGCGTGAAAGCTGTCATTTCATAAAGAAAACTTGCTGTCAAGACTTGAAGTTCAAGTGATTAAGAACATTTATTATCAAACGAAAAAAAAAATTACAGGCCGATTGACCCGCGCCCTATGCAGGCCTTAAAAATGGGCCGATTTGCTAAAATAAATCTAAAATGGTGCCCAGCCCAAACGAATCTATGAGGCCGTATTTACTGGGCCGAATAATATACAATATGTCATATTTGGTGCCGTACATTTATTTCCATCCTTGAAAAGGCGTTGGGGGTGAAGAGAGAGAGAGAGAGAGAGAGAGAGAGACTGACAGACAGAGAAAAAGGAGAGAGAAGCAAATTTGGCTAAATTGAAGAGTTGGGAAGTGGTGGTGGTAGGTGTCTAGATTCCTAGGTCTCTCATCAAGACTCACTCTCGAGCTTGGATCACAGAAAAACACAGAAAAAATGTCAGGCGTCACAAATCAGGAGGAGGACAAGAAGCCCACCGATCAGTCCGCCCACATCAACCTCAAAGTCAAGGGCCAGGTCCTCCCTCTCTCTCTCTTAGGGTTTTGGTTTTATTAATCAGAAATTTCGTCCCGATCGTAATAAGTTTGCGATATTGGGTTTTTATATATATGGATTTTTATTTATGTTTTTGAATTTTCGTGTTTAATCTAACTTGTTTGTACTTTGTCTGTTTCATAATTTTGTTCCATTTTAAAATTGTCTATATGAGTTAGGGTTTGCTATTTTGCCTAATTGTTAGAACTCCTTTGGAGATTTGAGGTTTTGAATTTCTTCTTCAAAATTTTCACTGTGTCGCTTACGATGTGTTTTTGTGATGCTCTGTCTGTTTGGGTATCAATCTGTACTTTCTCAGGAAAAAAAAAAGACTAAATACTTTTCGTTATACCCTAACCTGATTTTATTTTCGTAATATTGGAGAATAATGGGTTGTTTATGTTGGTGTACCTGTGTGTGCATAACTTGCTAATTGGTTATGAAAGGATTTTTATCTCACGTATGAGGTGCAAGAGCAATGCCTTTATATTTTCTCTTTTTACTTTTCAAATATTTGCAAAGTCACAAGTTGACCATGAAGTTTTTCGGAAAATGGATTCTCTAGTGCTGTTTGTATGTGACTTACTGCTAATGCTGGTAATGGTTTGGTTATGTTATATAGGATGGGAATGAAGTGTTCTTCAGGATCAAGAGAAGTACCCAACTGAAGAAGCTCATGAATGCTTACTGTGATCGACAGTCGGTGGAGTTCAATTCTATTGCTTTCTTGTTTGATGGTCGTCGTCTTAGAGCTGAGCAGACTCCAGATGAGGTTTCTTTCTTTATCTCTCTTTGCCCATATGCCAGGATGTGCAGATATATCGATCTATACATCTGAATGCAAATTTTAATTTTGAGTTTTCAAATTCTGACTGCAAATATATATTGTTTTTTCTTCTGCAGTTGGAAATGGAAGACGGGGATGAAATAGATGCAATGCTTCACCAAACTGGAGGTGCTTTTGCCTAGTCAATAAATGTGGATGGCTGTTTTCCTAGTAGGAGCCAAGTATATGTAGACTTTGACTATCTGGAAAATGATGTCTGAAGTTTTAGTATCTATCAACACTTCTAGTCTTGTCTAAGCTTATTTCTAGATGTTTGTTGTCAATACATGGCAATTGTGTGTGTATGAAGTATGGTTTTATGGTTTCTAAGTATATGAGGTATGGTTTCTTCTTGGTAACTTTCCACGTGGCCATTTATTTTTGCTTGGCTCTAATCTGCTATGTTCTTGTTGCTCTTCCTTTGACTTATATTTCTTTGGTGTGTCGTGATTGGTTGGCTACCCTTAAAAAAAAGGTTAGAATTTGATCACGAGGGATTGGATGGGTGCATCTTGAGATGGTTTGTGTAACAAATGCTTGGCTGTTAATTGATTTGTCAAGATGAAATTGTTCTGTGACTTGTTTTTAGTAGTGTTCTCCTACCTGATTTATCGTGTTCAATATTTGTTACCACTTGCATTCCATGATCAAGAGTTTTGCTGATATCGGGGTTGGAGAGGAGAATACATACATTAGGAGAATCTTTAGGATGATACTTGCTGGCAAGTAGGATTGGTTTAAATGGCCTTGCCTGCCATCGGAGCCAATGTTTAGGTGATAAATCTGCATGTTACTTTGCATACAAGAGCATGTATCACATTAAACATTAAGACATTTTGATAAGAAACCTTGCCTTGCCATCATTGACATTGATCAAGTGCCATTAGCATTTATCAGTTTTTGTCAGGTTAGCTTAGGATCATTTAAATTTGAGTGTTCGAATAGTTATTTTGGTCAAGTTAGTGAACAAATTGTTTCACCTATCAAATAACAGTGATAGGACTATTTGCATGATTCTGTACCCTTCGATTGTAGTACGATGCTTGGAGCCAACACCTACTTACTGTTATGAGTGTTAAGGGGAAATCTTCTTATCTGTTTTCACTAACATTATTATTTTTATCGCTTTGCTTGTTGCATTAGATTAGAGCAGCCAGTGTTTGGCAGCTGCTTTACATTTGCCCTCAGCACCTAGATTAAATCTTTGGCACCTGTGCTTCAGGAATCCATCTGTATTTCCTACACTCCTCTGGTGGTCAGGTTGGATCATTTTTATTCGGATGTTTTAACTGTATTTTTCAGTTAACTTCCCTTTTCAGTTGTCATCATAATACTATTCACATGCTTCATTGTTTTAAATTTTTTTAATGATTTTTGGGGTCAGCAGCAGCGCCTACTTACTAGTAGGTGAGTTATTGTTCCTAAGGTGTTTTCATTGATAATATCTCTTGCTTTGCCCGTATTTGTTGCATTTGCATAGTTGATTTGAGTTTGGCATTAACCTACAAGAATACTCCACAAACTCCACCTTTGCAAACCTCTCCAGCGCACTTGCCAGTCGACCACTGTTGAACCAAAAAAAAATTCACGCAGAACTTTTTTTGGCAAAAGTTTCTATCGGTCAAAGCCCTAGTCCTACAAAACCATCTAATTTTTCCTATGGCAATGAGACTAAATTCAAATATCTCAAACACAAATTCTCAATTAGTGGGCCGCATGTACCTATTAATTTCCAATTTTTTTCCCACGGGTCATGAAAATCTCCAAATTATCTCAAAGACACAAATTCTAATAAGCAATATAATTCTTGACATGCGTGATTGCAACTAATAAAAAATATAATTTTTGACATGTGTGATATGTATACACATTATTTTTCGTATGTATTGTGAGTTCAAATTTTTGATTCTTTATAATTTGTAAGAGGTTCTCACACACATGAAATCCTGGCTTCGCCATTGTTAGTGGGCCACACTTACTCATTAATTTCTAAATTCCGAACTACATTGGTTTGAGCCATTTGAAAGGATACATAGGCAATCTAGAGATTCAACCTAGACGCAACTGTCCAAATCTTAAATTCGAATCGAATCCTTGATTTATTCAGCTAAATTCACTCAAACACTTGTCAATACAATTCAAATCAAATTTCTCTCATAGTGAGTCATTTATTCATTGCAATTCTTTGAACTACGAGTGGTTTGATTCCCGCAAGGGATACGTAGGCACCCTGAGGTTCAACTTAGGGGTAGCAGTAAAACCATACACACACGTTCTGCTTCTTTATGATGGAATCAAAGGGTGTTCCCATGAAGTAAGAGATTGTAATTAACAGACACCGCGTCTCAAATGGGTCGAACATAAAATAATAAAACTCCATTATTTAATTAGTGGTGATGAAATTATGTTGGGAGTACTTGGGCTTTGACCGATCGAAACTTGGCATAAAAAGTTTGTGTGAATTTTTTTTTTGGTTCAACAACCACCATCCAGGAAATTGAAGGATTGAAAATGCAACATCCAAGACCCGTTAGGAGAAGTTCACCTATTGTGGAACAGGGGACCAAAGTGGAGAAAGACCAGCTAGCATTAATAAGATTGGGGTGTGCAAGCTTATCCCAAATTCTGCTCAAATTGAGGTGGAATTCCCACCTACCTCTTGATATATTGCCATAGAGCCCACGAATCACCTCCAATTTCAAATTGGACATTTCTAAAGTCCTGCTCAATAGCAAAGACGCAAAGCTTCAAGCACCGAAGACACCACGTCTAGAGAGAGGAGACCAGGCATCATCCATATTTACCTTGAAGCATTGGACATGAGTAGGGAGACATTGCTGATTTTGCTGCACATATAGGAATTCAGGAGGCGAGCAGCAACATGTTTGGTTGCTTTAGCTGCAAAAAAAACTACGAAATTGCCAATGTGGTGAAATCAATGACCATCGACGATGATGTGCGGTATGACGCGAGCTATATCTGTGAATGAGTATAATGGTGCCCGAGGCCCGCAACTTCAATAAGCTTCATTAGGTTTATACAAGAATTCTATAGTAAGGAACTTACACATGCCCCTTAGGTGATGCTTTATCTTTTAATCGTTAGATTAAATTGGTTAACTTGATCTAACGGTTAAAAGATAAGAGCTTATCTAAGAGTCATATATAAGGCCCTCACTATATAATGGAACCCTAATTCAATGGAAAAAAGGCCTTGATTGAAAATCAGTGGCCTCATGTTTGAATCCCCATGACATCTTGATAGTGTGTGTGTGAGAATCCCCCCTCCTCGCAGTTTAAACTATCGCTTGTATTACAAAAAAGGGAGACCCTAACATTGACAGACTATTACTTGTCTGTCTACCACTCAAATTATCCTTCTCTCTTGGGTTGCATCGACAAATCCTAAACGTGATCTCTCGCGTCCATATCGTAAAATGCATAGAGATAATAACTTGGGTGCTTACGCTACCTTCTTTAAATTTCTTGGTGTTCATTCAATTAGCTTTAGGTTATGTACCATGATTGTTCACGATTGGTGGTTATCTTCTTCTAGGTGCTTCAACGATTGCAATTTTACTGGAGTTTGTGGGACACAAATTATTAAAGTAGCAAACAAACATTTTTAAATTGCCACATATAACAACATCTTCAAATTATTAATTAGTTGCAAAGGTTGATCCAATGGATTGTCTATTCTTTCCAAGTCATCACATCAACCTTGTTTTTCATGCTCAACATAATTAACATGATTGGGAGCTAAATTAATCCAGATAATATTCCCTGATTTTGGTCAAAACCTTAATTAGATCAATCTCATTTCAAGGAGAGCACTTCATATCCGTATCTAGCCAATTTCAAGCCCATAATGACGAGTAAAAAGCACCAATTTTTTTAAAGTAAAAATTACTAACAAGAATATGAATAGAATATGTATATATAGCAAAAATCGTGTAAATAAAAATAAATAAATAAATAAAAAACCAGGCATATAATGGACGACACGATTGCGAATCATTAATGAATGTATTACACATTTTCCAATATATGATTCAGAATCGTCTATGAGTGTGTGGTCAAATGTGATGCGCCCAATTAGAAAATTCTAGCGTGATAGTATCCCTTTTAAATTAAAATTTATGTAATTAGTATTCTTATTGCGCAGATATTGTGTGTCCAATTTTTTTGAACTCTAAAAATATTAAATTATGCTCTTTTTGGGGCTACAAGAAGAGTTATTTGCACTAACACTCTCATATTTTCGGGTTTTTTAACAAAATCCTATGGGGTTTCAGAAATAACATAAACACTTCCTGAGATTTTATAGTTTTCACAAAATTCATTTTCGTTGATTGTTTGTCCAAAACTTGACGATTTCATTATAAAATAAAGTGTTTAAATGGAAAAATCAACCTCAATGAATATATGTGCAGTTTAATATCAAAGGCTAGCTTTGTCATTTGGACAATTATTTTATATACAATTATAAAATCATCAATCTTCGATGAAAAATCAACAAAAAGGGGTTTTGTGAAAGTATTTTAAAATCTCAAGAGATATTCGTGTAATTTCTAAAACCTTAGGGAATTTTCTAAAAAAATTAAAAACCTGAGAGAGTGTTAGTGTAAATAACTTGTACAAGAATTGGGAAAAGAATTATATCCATCTTTTCCTATCACGTGGCATTCATACTCGCCAACGTCAAAATACAGAGCAAAAGACTCATGGGATTGGCCAATCAAATGGGGCCCCAATGAAGCTCACGTGGTCTTGACCTCACACAAATCACACCAGGAATATAAATAGATAGAGGCCCCTGGTGGGAGGAAGAAAAGAGAGAAGAAACCAAAAAATCTTAATAATATTATGGAGGACAATAAGAAGCAAGGTATTGTCCTCCAACAATGGTGTGCTCTACTCTCCATCTTTGCTCTCATTTCCTCATCTCAGTCCTTCGACTACAGCGACGCCCTCTCCAAGAGCCTCCTCTACTTTGAGTCCCAGCGTTCCGGGCGCCTACCCTACAACCAAAGGGTCACTTGGCGTCACCATTCTGGCCTTACCGATGGCCTTGAACAAGGGGTCAGTCCATTTTTCCATCACAAATCTTCAATTTACCGAACCGGACCGTGCCCACTCCTATGATAAATGTGCTTTTTGTGTTTAATGCTGTGCCGTTTTGTTTGGCCTTCGTGTGTATTTTCAGGTGGACTTGGTGGGAGGGTACTATGATGCTGGTGACAATGTGAAATTTGGTCTGCCAATGGCATTTACTATAACAATGCTGTCTTGGGGTGTGATTGAATACGGCAGAGAAATGGAGGATGCTGGAGAGTATAAGCATGCTTTGGAAGCCATCAAATGGGGGACTGATTATTTCATCAAGGCCCATACTCACCCAAATGTTTTGTGGGGTGAGGTAATAATTCAATAATAATGTCAAATGAATTTTTACTTGAATGAATTTCTACCATATATATTCATAGTTTTGTAACATAACATATCAGATTGTTAAAAGGTTGAGTCGGTTCAATTGATTTATTATGAGTCTGTAATTTTAGGTGGGTGATGGATTTACGGATCACTATTGTTGGCAAAGGCCTGAGGACATGACCACGTCTCGTCAAGCCTACAAGGTCGATGAGAACAATCCCGGATCAGATATTGCTGGCGAGACAGCGGCGGCAATGGCGGCGGCTGCCATTGTGTTTAGGAAAACCAACCCACATTACTCTGGCCTACTTTTGCACCATGCACAACAGGTATCATATTTGTAGTTAATTAATGTGATGTTGTCATATATAGAAATATAAAAGGTTGATATACAAATATGCAAAGTGGGTGTACTGGTTACCAAAATGTAATGGTTTTTGGGCCCTTGGTCAATATACACTCTCAGATATTTTACTATAAGGTCCTATATTATGAAATTCATATAATAATTAATTTGGGATTTGGATTTGTTGGCAGTTGTTTGAGTTTGGTGACAAGTATAGGGGGAAGTATGATGAGAGCATTGAAGTGGTCAAGGGGCACTACACATCTTGGAGTGGGTACATGGATGAGTTGCTGTGGGCAGCTTTGTGGTTGTACAAGGCCACAAACAATGAAGATTATTTGAAGTATGCTTTGAACAATGCTCAGGCTTTTGGAGGCACCACTTGGGCCATCAAAGAGTTTAGCTGGGATGTTAAGTATGCTGGTGTTCAGATCATTGCTTCAATGGTACATAAACTCAATCTTGAACACTTTTCCACTTCTATTTTTATCCCCATTGTTTAACAATACAAACGATAATCTAAACTATAAGGGCGATGGGGGTTTCTCAACGCATACACTATCAATACGCAATGCGAGCTCGAACCTGAGACTGCAAATCAAGCCCTTTTCCTATTAGAATTAGCTCCACCCTTATATACTACTGTAACTCTATATATAATAGGGACGTGGCTTACCATGTGATTACTAAACAAATATATAATTAATTGGTTTTAATATATAATAGGGGATTTGACTTACCATGTGATGACTGAACAAATATATAATTTAATTGGTTTTAATTCCTTAACTCTCATATACGTTTTCTTTTTCAGTTGCTAAAGGAGGAGAAGCATAAGCAACACATGCACATACTGGAACAGTACCGTTCAAAAGCAGAGTTTTACATTTGTGCTTGCCTTGACAAAAACAATGTCACTAATGTGCAACGCACCCCAGGAGGCTTATTGTACATCCGCCAGTGGAACAACATGCAGTATGTTTCCAACGCAGCATTTCTACTCACAACGTACTCTGATTATCTCCAAGCCACTCATCAGAATCTAGCTTGTGATAAAGGGCGGGTGGGCCCACAAGAACTCCTATCATTTGCCAAATCACAGGTTGATTACATTTTGGGGTCTAATCCAACGGCCATGAGCTACTTGGTGGGTTATGGTCCAAAATACCCCCAAAGACTGCACCACAGAGGAGCATCTATAGAGTCCTACAAGAGGAACAAGGGATTTATTGGGTGCACTCAGGGGTATGATAGCTGGTATCGGATGCATCGTCCAAACCCAAATGTGCTAGTTGGGGCCCTAGTTGGTGGGCCAGATGGCAATGATGGATTCAGGGATGAAAGGTGGAATTACATGCAGACTGAGGCATGTACTTACAATACAGCAACATTAGTTGGTGTTCTTGCTAAATTGGATAGATTAGAAGGTGATTATCTGTCTCTTAATCAACCATTAATAGCTTCTAGCTAGCTAATAGGATGTATGTATGAAAGTGTCTTTGAAGGGTCTGATAATTTTGTGAAGCAAAGCAACATACATTACTAACCCAATGTACAAAGAAAGAAATGCAAATGGGGAATAAAGAAGTTTAATTATTTGACAGAAAGAGATAAATAAGTTTACCAATTTTCATTTTGCAGTTGTTATTATTGGCAATTGAAAATAGTCATTAGTAGCTTCTAGGCAGATGAATGGTTCTTTTTGGTGGGTAATAGAATATTTTTTTTTGAATATGAACGATAGTATAAACGATAATAGAGGAGAGATGAATTTCTCACTACCATAGTGCCATAGAGATTCAAATCTGACACTACTGGTCTGCAAGTCAATGCAACTGGATTCCATTCGCGGTTGATAATATATTTGAATCACACAGTCTGCTGTTTTACAACCAACACAAAATTTATAGCTTATATTTCTATTAGGTGCATATGTGGCATGGGAAATTAGGAATTATAACACAAACACGAACCCAATACGCTGAAGGAAGGAGTTATGATATTCACGGACATTTTGGGGATTATTTATTTAATTTTTATTGATGATGGAATTATATGACCCAGCCGATGAGTTTGCAGAGCATCCAGAAATGGTAGTCAAATTCAAATTGCTTGGAGCAAACGTACGCTGATGCATCAACCTTTGAATGCTATCAGTTACAACGCAGGGTGTAACTTATGAGTATATTGCAAAGGTGAAAACAACGTGATCATGTACCAGCCCTATTAATGAATTGCAGTTGCAGACCATGATCCAAATAAGCAGCAGCAGCAGCAGCGGCTTTATGTACATATATTTCAAGGTTTCAATCAAAGCTACCAAGTACACAAGTGCAATTGCTTGCTACCATATAAATGAGCGCCAAGATTGTCTGGTAATGAGTACCAATTTGCATCAGGTCCGGCCCTGGCTTAATGAGGGATTATAAACCCTAAACCAAATACAGCAAAATATTTGCCTCAAGGAGATATATATTTCCATTCAAAACATTCAAATTATATAAAGAAGGTTTATATTAACACTCCTCAACCAAGTTGAAGTTGAGTTCTTGGATATGTAATTTACACAATCTGGCTTCCCTTTGCTATTAATCTTTATGATATCCAGATTTTCTTTTATTGCTCAGAAAATCAAAACGAAGTATTAATCAGGCAATCAAAATTATTCAGTCATCATGTGGCCTCCTTCTGTAATCGGCACCAGGTTCATGTTGCTTGTACCTGTTCTTGACAGAGTCAACGCTAGAGTCACCCAAGGTAGTCTCCTCTGTCGCATCACATGTCTTGTCTGCAGTTTGACTGGCTACACCTTGCTCTGCCTTCTTCAGCTTCTCCTCAGCAACTCTTTTGAACTCCTCTGCTGTTGAAGGTGCTCTCTCTTCTATATTCATGTGGCTGCTGTGCTCTCCCTTGCTAACTTGACTGCTATGGTACCTCTGAATTAAAGTTCCACATGGTAAACGTGGATTAGGCCAGTTGGTCAGGATAATGAGCCCGTCCTTGCACCAATTTCAAGTCCCTCTCCCCGCAAATTAGACTAATTTAGAATAGTTTATCACTTGTATAAAAAAAATCTACATGTTGTAGCAATTAAGCCCCAATTGATTCACCCAATCATATTAGAAATCAATGTCTATTTTGACTTAAAGGGTACCTTAATTAGTTACAGATTAAGGAAGGGTATGATCATGAACATGATTATGATGTAAATTAATTGGTAATTTGAAACTTACCTGGTTGTGGCATGCTGTTAAGGACCTCAAAAGTGAGGAGGACCTTGATGGGAAGGTGTGCAGAGGAAAAAGATGGCCTCTCATGGCTGAACACCAGCTAGCACAGCTTGATGTGTTGATCGAACTCAGATTGCAATAAGACACACGGACAATGAAGTCTGTTTCCAAGGCATATGGATTATGAAGAAGAGCAGAAGAAATGACACTGCGGAGGGCGTACACGTGTCTCCTGCTACACAAACGTGGTACTGTGTGGATTTGCCATTTCATTCTGGAGCATGGCTTTTGTGTGTACATCTTTTCTTTCTTGAAATGTGTGTACTATTTTGGAGGTATATATCATCTTCTGGCAAGTGATCAGATCATTAACAACAGTTGGTCTGAAATAAAAAAAAATAAAAAAATACATATCCCATGTTTCCTATATCTTTATCATATTTATTCGCGTAACTCATCATGTAATAAGATAAAGGAAACTGTATGAAACATTTTGCATGAAAGTTTTACCATCCAATACAACGGTTAACAATCAATCCCTAATTTTGTACAAACTTGTATGGCGGACAAGTTTATCCAGTAAAGTATTAACTTCCCCAAAAAAGGAACAAAAGTTGCACCACATTGGTATACGTAAAATCCAACTTCCAGCTAATTCAGACAAGTAGGGAACACCAATGAGATATATTCTAGTGAACCCGTGGTTTTAACTTTTAAGATAGAATTCTCATGACACATTAGTTGTGTATGTGAAAAACCTTCTTTCTGTGTAGTTTTTGTCTATAACTCGTATATAAAAAAAAAACATAGAAAACTAACTCATTCTTTAGATCATCTTGCATTGTCTTGTGAGGAGGACAAAGATGGATATGGAGTGGTTAAAACTCCCAACTTTACTTTATTTGTTGCTTTCTTGATTTCCAATCGTACTTACTCGATAAGATTTCTTATTCCTAAGTTGAAACTCTCCTCTATATAAAGATGTTGATTGTGTTTTGTGAAAAATGCAATATGTGAGAGCATAGTGTTGCATTCACAAACATTTATAACAATAAAAATTGAAGAAGATGAACATACAATATCATAATAACTAGAGTTTGTTCCGTGGTTGAACAACTATTCCCTTAAGACATTCTCTCTCATACCTATTTCACCACAAGGGTTTTTAGGTTTAATGGTACCTGAATTTTGACCCGATTCGCATTTTGGTTCCTCAATTTCCAAAATTGTTCCTATGGTCCTTCAACTTTAGTTTCGTTAGGACTAATGGTCTTACCGTCAATTTTGTTAATTTTTCTGTTAAATGAAGGGGCAAAATGGTATTTTTGTATTATTTTAAATTTCCACCTTTTGAATATTCGTTTCACCAAAAAAATAAAAATACAAATAAAAAAACGAAAAACTAAAACACCTTCTTCCTATCCTTAGTCAAACATGGTCAAGGGGTTATGGCTACTATGGCGAGAATAAGAAGGTTTTTAGTTTTTAGTTTATTTATTTATTTTTTGGGTGAAAAGAATATTCAAAAGGTGGAAATTAAAAATAATACAAAAAATACTATTTTGCCCTTGCATTTAACATAAAAGAAAATAAAATTGAAGGCATGACCATCTGTTCTAATGAAACATAAGTTGAAGGGCCACGCGAACAATTTTAGAAATTGAGGGAACAATTTTGGAAATTGAAGGACCAAAATGCGAATTGGGTTAAAGTTCAGGGACCATTAGACCTAAAAACCCTTCACAACAATAATGCTAGCCATACCACATTTTTAAATCACTTTATGTGGCAATTGAGGTGACTATACCACATCAGTTCATGAGCAATGACTTCTTAAATTGGTTACTAATTTTTCCTAGGGTTAATCGTTTTATTAGTCCATGAGTTTAGACTCGATTTTTATTTGAGTCCCTCAATTTCCAAAATCATTCCCGCGGTCCTTTAACTTCACTTTCGTTAGGACAAATGGTCATGTCGTCAATTTTGTTAACTTTTTATGTTAAATGCAGGGGCAAAATGGTATTTTTATATTAAAACAAAAAAAGATGAATACAAAATTCATATCTTTAAAATAAAAATAAAAGAAAATCAAAGAAAAAACCAACAAAAAAAAAACACATCAAGTTTGGGGAAAGTAGAAATCGGGATAGGAGGGGAGAGAGAGTTTAATTTTAATTTGGGTTATTCATTTTATTAGTCCCTGAACTTAGACTTGATTTGCATTTGAGTCCCTCAATTTTCAAAATTGTTCCCATGGTCCTTTAACTTCAATTTTATCAAGACAAATGGTTCTGCTATCAATTTTGTTAACTTTTCTGTTAAATGTAGGGATAAAATGGTATTTTTATATATTTTAAATTTTAAATTGATTAAAATATGAATAAAATATTAAAAACAAAATAATAATAAGAAAAAAAAATCAAGTTTTTAGAAATAAGAACTAATTTTTAATTTGTAGTTTGACTGAGGATAAGAATAAGAATTTTAATTTTTTAGTGAATAATAATTATGTTTTAATTATTATTTATTTAGTGAATATTTAAATATGTTATTGATTTCACAAATGACTTAATAAATAGTAAGTACTAGAAGTTCAATGGACGTCAAAAAAATAAATCACTTATTTCGTTTGGTTGTCTTAATTAGATTTTCCCAGGTGCAAGTCCCCAGTCTTTGAAAAGAAAATGTACAATACTTGTATTATACATGTACGTACATATTTTTCGTGTTTAATACATGTATTTTTTTACAAAATTTTTAATAAGACACACAAAATCCACATATATTATACACAAAATTCACACACATTATTGAATAAAAATAATATATATTTAAAAATAATACAGTGGCTGAACTTATAAGTTGTAAGTAGTAAGCCGCTCGGCTATAAACAGTTTATAAAATTTTCTTAATTTTTTTTAAAAAATAGTATAGCCGAACGGCTTTACGTGTTTGACAAGTGGCACCTAGTCGTGGGCAGCCCTTTTGTATATTTATATAGCGTTTAGCCGTCCGGCTCTACTAGGATTTTTAATTTTTTGAAAAGATATAGTATAGCCGTGCGGCTACACTCTGCTAATCTAGCAAATTTCATTGGCATAGATCTGTGTCGACGAACTTGTGTCGGGAGAGGTTTTTTGTATTAATTTTTTAAAAAAAATTTGTTTCTTTACTTTTGTTTTTTAGGCCAACTTCTTTTATTTAATATATGTAATTAAGTAATATCTTAGCCTTTTTGAATTACTTTAATTAGTAATTATGTTTTAATTATTATTTCTTTAGTGAATATTTAAATATGTTACTGATTTCATAAATGACTTAATAAATAGTAAGTACTTCAAGTTCAATGGACGTAAAAAAAAAAAAAAAAACTTATTTCGTTTGGTTGTCTTAATTAGATTTCCCCAGAGCCCAAGAGCTCCAAGGCCCAAGTCCCTAGTCTTTAAAAAGCAAACATACAATATTCATATTATACATGAACGTACATATTTTTCATGTTTAACACATGTATTTTTTTACAAAAATTTCAATAAGACACACAAAATCCATGTATATTATACACAAAATTCACACACATTATTGAATAAAAATAATATATATTAAAAAAATTATATTAAAATGTAATATAGTGGCTGAACTTTTAAGTTGTAATGTGCCAAAATAGTACAGCTGCACGGCTATACTGAATGATGCAAATACTTGTAAATACTTATATCAGATGTTGTAATTACCAAGTCTTGTAACATGGGCTTGTAACTAAGTAGAGCATTAAAGTGATTGCGATGTGATAGAGATTAAGTAAGTTGGACAACCCACCAACTATGAGTGGGTAGCAAATAATAATGAATCTTAGTGTTTAATAATTAATCTCAGTTTATTGTAGCAAACCAAAAAAAAAAAAAAAAAAATTCAGAAAGGAAAAAAAACAAAAACAAAAAATCCAGAAAGTAAAAAAAAGAAACACGCCCTCAGTCCAGGCAATGGCTCAACAAGGTCTACAACAACTACTAGGGCTGGGCTTGGTCCGGGTTGGTTCGGTTTTGGGCTCAACCCGAATCCAAACCGAAGGCTTCGGTTTGGCTATTTTGAAAACCGAAACCAAACCATAGTTGATGAAAACCGACCACTTCGGTTAACCGGACTTGGTGGTTTGGTTTGGTTCGGTTTCGGTTTTTTGGCTTTCTTAAAAAGAGAGGAGGGAGGGAGAGAGAGAGAGAGAGAGAGAGAGGAAATAAAAGCAATGGAGAGGAGAAGAAGAAAAAAAAGAGAGAGGGAGAGATGGAGAAGAAGAAGAAGAAGAGGAGGAGAAAAAGAAAGGAGAAAAGAAGAAGAATGAAAAAAGAAGAGGGAGACGGGGAGAGGGCGTGAAGACATATATAAGAATGAGAAAATTAAAATAGAGAGAGAGGGATTGATAAAGACAAGACAAATGGAAAGACTGAGAGAGAAGAAAAAGAAAAGATTGAAACTATGTATTATATATATATATTTCTTAAATAATACTATATATAATATTTTTTAATATCTTCGGTTTGGTTTGGTTAAACCGTGGGTTTAAATATTGCAAACTGTAAACCGAACCATATATTTCGGTTTGGTTTGGGTTGAAACCGATGACCAAAAAATATAAAAAAAAAACCGAACCAAACTGAACCGATCAGTTTGGTTTGGGCTGGTTGGCCAGGTTTCGGGTCCAAATGCCAGCCCTAGCAACTACAATAGCCATGGCCCCATTTGGCAGCCCTAGCGTTCTAATATGCAAATAAAAAGAGAAATTTATTTAATTTTTTTGGTTTGAAAGGAGGGGTGCACAAATAGAACCCTGTTGGATTTGTTGGTGATTGTTTTTTTGTTTTTTTTTTCCGGTAATAATAATGATAATAATTCATGGAGAAAAAAAAGTAAGAAGTTGTGGAGATTGAAATCTGAATATTAGTTAGGATATAGGTCAGCATTCAAAAAAGGAGTACATATTCCACTGAAGGAGAATTGTGGTAAAGCCAACGTGGCGTTTAGATAGTCTGTGTTCATTACTGAGAAGAATGTTGAATGGGGGTTGAGTTAACGTTTCACCGCACCTTCATTATTCAAAAGTAGATTCTACTGTCAATTGTTGAGCTCGGGGAAAACTATGCAATGGAAATGAAAAGAAAATTGCAGAGGCATTTAATAGAAAATGGTGCAGAGTTCCAAACAGCGAAGCCAAATGAAAATTTTAACTAGATACTTCCACAGTTCCATTAAAGTTTTTCAAAAGCTGAAGACTAAATAGCGCAAGAACTACTACTACAAAAAAAAAAAAAAAACATATCAGCGCTACAAATAACAAGTTCGACGCCAAGTAAATACAACGAAACATCAGGCACTTCAGGCATAGGACGCTACTGCCCTACAAATCAGCAACAAACATCAACATGTTAGATAACAAGAACTGGGAGTGTCTGCACATCAGGCATCAGGCACTTCTGGCAAACGGCGTTACAGCACTACAAATCTGCAGCAACAGAAAACAAGAAAAGTGCTACGCTAATCATTTGTTAAGCATTATAGTTGACACTCTACAGGAGTCGAACGATACTTCATAAAGGGCGAAAATACTATGAAAGTAAGACTCCAGGTAAGGAGTTAGATTTCCCCCCGAGGGGGAATTAATCCAGCTCGACCATAGGGAGAGGGGGATTAAGGGGGGAAACGTTCCTTGTTCTTTCTTTGTTCTTTCTTTTCATGAAACTAAGATAACAACAACTAAACTCCCTTAAGAGAAACAGCAGTTTAAGACCTCTTTCGTAGGATGAGCTATAAGGTTCTGTAAACTAGCGAAAAAACCCCTTCTTTTAGTTCTAACTTTATTAAGGATCTCAAACCGCTTTATTCTACATATGTTTCCTCTCAGTAGGAAGAACAACTGTAAGTAGAAGTTCCTATTAACGAGGATTTCCTTATGTTATGTATAGTGTAATTGGGGAGTAAGGTAGTGAGGACTGTTTACGTCCTCCACTACCCCTCTCCCCCCTCTGACTGAGCAATCCGGCTGCCTTTCGTTATCGAGGGCTGCCCTCAACTCTGGTTCACCTCCATCAGTTGTCATGAAAACTTTTCCCAGTACTTCTTCAGGAGTGCAAATGAAAATTCCTCCCCCTAAATGAAAGCTAAATTGGAAACGAAACTATTATACAAATGAAAACCATTGGAAAAGGGATTAAAGCCTGAACTATAGCACAATCTCTTACAGCAGAAAACAATAAATTGAATACACAAACTTCACTACAGTAGCAGTAATCAGTCCACCCTCAAAAGTCATACCAACTTGATATTATATGAGTCAAAAACTAAAAGCACTCATAAAAGACCAGTCTAACGGTGTTTACATGAAAGCTGAGTTGATATTATTATAATTATATAGTTTTTAACTTTTTGATATCCAAATTGAGTTTCCATGAGAGCTGAGTTGACTTTAGTCACAAGTTGTGTTCTAGCAACAGAAGCGAGAAAGACAATCAGCTAAAGGAAAAAAAAACCCACACAAGTCGACATAATAAAGATCCCACAGCAATTTAGTCACCAATCATGCTTTTAATGAACATAAAAACCTGGCAAACAAAGAATTGAAATGTTCTTCTCTCAGCACTATAATACATACCTGTTCTTTCTCTTAATAAGACTCTGCATCACTCTTGTCGAGTAAGAGGAGGCTCTCTTTATAAAAATCAACAGTACAATATTTATATCCAGAAATCCCAAGATTTTTAAACTGTTTGCTCACAAGGTCTAGTGAAACTAGTTCCCGCCTCCCTTCTTTTGTTAGCAGTAACAGTACTTCCCCGCTCTTGCTAAAACATAAGGCCCTGGGTAAAAGTCTTTCTGGACCTTGTGGACCGAGAGTAATCAATTTGGTCCATGATTCCTTTCTGCCATACTCTTTCATCACCCATATATCAAGAACAGAATCTTCACACCTATTATCCATCATGAAATCTTTACAACTGTTATCCCTCATAAACAGAGCAACAGATTTTCTGTTTTCGGAAACAGACAATTGCAATCCCCACTTGGGATTCCAATGGATAATCTTCGGCATAGGTATCTTACCGAACACCTCCTTGCCCAGGTCAAACGTCAAAATAAAATAGCAACCATCGCCGTTTGAGACTACAGGCCAATGAAGAATCCCATTAACAAAAGCATTGGATGCAGCTCCATCTGTTCCACATGCAGGAGAAACACAACCAAGACTCCTCCATGTGCCAGTGGCTAGGGAATAAACCTCAGCTACAGTTGGCCCCTCATCTTCATGTTGTAAAGTTACAATTCGCACAACCTTATAGTCATTGGTCATAGCATCAAAACCGAACCCAATAGAAGCATCATACCCACCATGCGTCCTAAAGGTAACTCCAGGCCTGGGAAGGGTCACTAACTTTCTAATGGCTGGGTTCCATATAAAGAAGTTGTAACCATAACGGAGGATATCATCCGCAAGGCAGATTAGCCTACTACAAGTGCCGACCACACGAAAATGAGAATTGCACAGTTCTTGCTTTGGAGCAATTGGAAATTCGATCTTGGAGTACACATCAAAAGCCTGGTTATCATAATGCACACAGTAGTGAACCTCATCTTTTATCTCGGAAACGATCGTTTTGTGGCCGAAGGTGCTGCTACTGTCACAAGAAATTATGTGGAGTAGAAGGAGGTCAATGTCATCCTGGTTAGCAAAATCGACTGTTAGGGTTAAGTGGGCGCGGATAAAGCTTTTGTTCATGATCATGGTTTCTCTAGTTTTGAGCAAAATCTTAATTGTTTGTTGACAGATTTTGGAGTCCATAAATCATTGTATCTTTCGACGTATATGCACTCATCCAACAAAAAGTTTGACAGTTGTTGCTCGCACTTGTGTTGAGTTCTTCTGTATCAACTACTATTCGGGGAGATCTCGTGGCCAAACTACTCCAATCATATGGCTTCCGCCCAAGCCCCCATTCCTCAAGATGAACTTTGATGGCTCTGTTAAAGCTTCTTCTTCGTCTGATTCAGTTTTTGTTATTAGAGATGCAGGAGAAACACAACCAAGATTGCTGCATGTGCCCGTGGCTAGGGAATAAACCTCAGCTAGAGTTGGCTGCTCATCTTCCTCCAATAAAGTCACAAGTCGCACAACCTTATAGTCATTGGTCATAGCATCAAAACCAGACCCAAGAGAAGCATTGTTCCTACCATGCGACCGAAAGTTAATACCAGGCTTGGGAAGGGTCACCAACTTTCTGATGGTTGGGTTCCGTATAAAGAAGTTGTAAGCATAAGAGGGGATATCATCCGCAAGACAAATTATCCCATCACAAGTGCCAAGCACAAGAGATGTGAATTCCCAAAGTTTTTCTTTGCGGCAATTGGAAATTCGATCTTGGCACATCAAACGCCTGGTTATCATGATGCAGAGAGTGAACCTTGTCTTTTACCTTGTGAATAACCTTGTTTTGGTAGTAGGTGAGGCTACAGCTACCAGAAATTTTGTGGAGTAGGAGGAGGTGAATGTCATTCTGGTTAGCAAAGTCCACTGTTGGGCTGAGGTGGGGGTGAATAAAGCTTTGGTTTATGATCATGGACCTCCATGTCTTGCAGACTGAAGTACATTTGATCAGAGATTTAACGGGTAGCCTAATTAGGATCTCTTGTACGATTTCCTGAGGAAAAGAGCATGCGATCGATTCAATTTTCAATTTGATCCCTTGTCTGACATTTTTTTATGTTATCAATGTCTAGCACATTCAAATAGTTACAAATAGTTATACTTACCAACAGAGAAAAGCAATGGAGACAAAACTCAGCTATAATTGAGAAAACAAAATATCAAGAGAGCTGTTCTTACAACAGAGTAACATTCATATACAATTTTTAGTCGGAAAACTAAAAGTACTAAAATCCAATCCAAATCCGTCATAAAGGAAAAATAAATGTTACAAATTGCCTTTCAATGTACCAAATAGCCAGCTTATTCTTCCTCCAGTGTATCATCACGCTGGTAAAACTGTTCAGAGAAATGAAACCAGATTATATGCTTGGACGTTGTTCATAGTGTGCATCTAGTAGTGTCACTACTCCGTCATAGTGGTTGTCGAGGCGGCCGCAGAGGTGGATGTGGAGGTGAATAGGGATTTTCATACTTAATCGGCTTGTTTTATTGTAGTTATGGGTCTAATTACTCCGTCATATAATTAGTACTTAGTTTTGAAATTCGAATAAACCTTCGATATAGGTTAGTATTTGGTATATTATTACATGCTTGATGTTGCCTTGTTTTGACTATAGTTTCAAGCATATGGTATCCAGTTGATTTCCACTCCTAATTAAATCCCTATAGGAAAATCATTCAATAAAAAACTGTAAAAGAGATTTCAACTCCTAATTAAAATGTTCCTACAGCAGACTAGTTCTTAATTCAAATGCTGAAACAGCTCTAGCCTCCGAAACAAGGTGCTTTGTCCGAGCTTCTGGGAATTTTAATGAAATTTAAAAGAGATATTTAGTCATATACCCATTCTTATTAAATTACTTTTATCGAGTCTAGAGCTGAATGAGGGTTGAGTTTAATGTTGCAAAAATGGTCTTCAAACGAATGCAATTGCAAAAATAGACAACCATCATATGTTGCAGGCATGCAGTTAACTAAAACATGGTACAATTTCAAATCACCTTCATTACTTAATTAAAAGTGAATTTTGCTGTAAATTGTTCAGCTCAGGGAAAACTATGCAATAAAAATGGAAAAGAAAATTGCAAAAGCATTTCATGGAAACTGGTGCAGAGAACTGCAAAGGCAAATGCAATTTGTAACTAGATACTTCCATTAAAGCTTCCCAAAAGCTGAAGAATGAATAGTGCAAGAACTACTAGATAACAAGTTCCATGCCAAGTAAATACACAGAAACATCATGCACTTCAGGCATAGGACGCTACTGCCCTACAAATCGGCAAAAAAATGAACAAGAAAACGAAAATACATCAGCAAGATAGATAACAAGAAACGGACATTGATGCACATCAGGCATCAGGCAAGTCAGGCACTTTCGGCAAACAATGTTACTGCACTACAAATCTGCAACAAAAGAAAACAAGAAAAGTGCTGCGTTAATCAATTGTTAAGCATTAGAGTTGACATCATTTGTCATGAAAACTTTTCCCAGTACTTCTTCAGGAGTGCAAATCAAACTTCCTCTTCATGCTTACACAAATGAAAGCTAAATTGGAAAAGAAACTAATGTACATATGAAAACATTGGAAAATGGATTAAAGCTCATGCTTTTAATGAACATAAAAACCTGGCAAACAAAGAATTGAAATGTTCTGCTCTCAGCACAATAATCACATTACTTGTTCTTTCTCTTAGTAAGACTCTGCATCGCTCTTGTCGAGTAAGAGGAGGCTCTCTTTATAAAAATGACCAGTACAATATTTATATCCAGAAATCCCAAGAAGTTTAAACTGTTTGCTCACAATGTCTAGTGATACTAGTTCCTGCCTCTCTTTTTCTTTTCGCAGTAACAATAATTCCCCACTCTTCCTAAAACATAAGGCGCTGAGGAAAATTGTTTCTGGACCTTGTGGATTGAGAGTTATCAATTTGGTCCATGATTCCTCTCTGCCATACTCTTTCATCACCCATATATCAAGAACAGAATCTTCACGCCCATAATCGATATAGAAATCTTCACGATTGTTGGGCCTCATGAACAAAGCAATAGATTTTTTGTTATCTGAAACAGACAATTGCAATCCCAAATTTGCGTCCCATTGAATAATCTTAGGCATAGGTATCTGACTGAACACCTCCTTGCCCAGATCAAATGTCAATATAATATAGTAAGAATCAATATCTGTTTGACAGACTATAGGCCAATGAAGAACCCCATTAACAAAAGCACTGGATGCAGCTTTATCTATTAGACATGCAGGAGAAACACAACCAAGACTCATCCATGTGCCGGTGGCTAGGGAATAAACCTCAGCTAGAGTTGGCGTCTCATCATCGTCATCCCATAAAGTCACAACTCGCACAACCTTATAGTCATTGGTTGTAGCATCAAAACCGAACCCAATAGAAGCATCGTACCCACCATGCGTCTGATAGGTAATACCTGGCTTGGGAAGGGTCACTGACTTTTTAATGGCTGGGTTCCATATAATGAAGTTGTAAGCATAACAGGGGACATCATCCGCAAGGCAAATTAGCCCATCGCAAGTGCCAACCACACGAAGATGTGAATTGCCATAGTTTTTCTTTGCGGCAATTGGAAATTCGATCTTGGAGTACACATCAAACGCCCGGTTATCATGATGCACAGAGTGAACCTCGTCTTTTACCTTGTGAATGACCGTGTTTTGGTAGTAGTTGAGGCTATTGCTACCAGAAATTCTGTGGAGTAGGAGGAGGTCAATGTCATTCTGGTTAGCAAAGTCCACAGTTGGGTTGAGGCGTGCGTGAATAAAGCTTTGGTTTATGATCATGGACCTCCATGCCTTGCAGACTGAAGTGCATTTGATCAGAGATTTAACGGATAGCCTAATTAGGATCTCTTGTATGATTTCCTCAGGAAAAGAGAGTGCCATCGCTTCAAATTTCAATTCGTGTATCGCCTGTGTGATATCTCGTATGTTATCCATGTCTTGCAAATTCAAATAGTTATACCACCTGAGAAAAGCAATAGATACAAAACCCAGCAATAATTGAGAAAAAAGAAAACATGAGAGCTGCTCTTAAAGCAGAGTACTAAAAAAAACAGAGCAACCTAAACCCTAAACCTCATATTATTCATATCAAACCCAAAAAAAAAATCAAAACCCATCAGGGGAAAAAATACTGAAGCCAAACCCATAATTTTTAGCTGACAAAAAAGCTCTAAAAAAATTCCCAGAAGAAGGAAAGAGAAAGTTTAGGAACTTACAAATTTTGGTGCTGATAAGCAGAGCCGAAGTAATGTAGCTGAAGAAGAAAAGCTTCTAGGAATTTCCTTTCCGTACCCTACCGATCGGAAAAGCTTCTCTATTTATATGCTTTGTTATTGCAAAAGCTTTCCTGTTTTTTTTGGGTCAAGCTGCAAAAGCTTTCCTATTTGTTTTTGAAGAAATCAAACGTTACAAGTTTCCTAGAATAAGTTGTTTGGAATATATATCTGTAAAATGAAGTGTAAATAAAAATAAAGTATTTCACATTAAACCATTGCAAGAGGGAAAACAACATTCCTAATTTTTTAAAGGCTTAATTATGTACATGCTCTCTGTGCTTTCAAACTTATCTCAGATTATCACCTGTATTTGCAAACGGCTTAAATTCTAGAGCAGCAGGCCCTCCCCTTTGTTACTGTTCATCCGACTAGTTTTTGGGCTACCATCTCCTTCTCCGGCCACCCTAAGCGACGACATGGGCATCAAAAGAACCAGCACGTTGTCCTCTACCAGCCTCACGTCTCAGCCGCTGCCAACCGCCGTTTGGATCGCCGGAAAAAGCAAGAAATTTGCCGATTTTTACCCAAAATCTCCATTGCTCGTTTCGGGCGATTCCGAGCACCATTTGCTTCAATCCAGGTATGGTTTTTCAACCTCTCGAGCTGTTCTTACTGCTAGTTGCGTTGGTTAGGAGAAATTTCTGAGTTTTGGAGGGTAAATAAGCGATGATCAGTAACAAAGGGGAGAGGCTGCCCTTCTGGGGGGAAGAAGGAGAAAAAAAGAAGACAAAAGGAAGTAGGGCCCAACATTCGTAACGGAACATCAAAA